CTTCTCCAAAGCAAGTAACGAGATCTTTTTGAATCTTTGGAGATGTCAATTGATTGTTCTTCGGGGCATTTTGTAATATAACCTTTTCAATCTCCCCATTTGTTCTTCCGATTAACTTTAAAGTCCCCAAGAAAAGCCCTTTGTACATAGACTTTTCCGACTCATCATTGCCACGAAATGGTAAAGTATTCTCCAACAAATATCTACAAACTTCAACAGAAGCATTCAATCGCTTGTGGTACTCGGTCTTCATGAGTTCTGTTTGTTTATGAAGGGCAACATCAATTGATTGGTTTCGATTAACCAAATCTTCACATTTTTAAGTGCTTTATGGTGAAAACTATTAACCTCACCCTCATGAAGCGTAAGTCTATCTTTTTTACTCCAACTATCAAATCCCTTCGCCACAAATGCATCTATCCCATGATTCCCACCTTGGTCTCTGAACAAGTAACAAGGCAAACAATATGCTCTATCTACTTTTACACTGTATTCCAACCATTGAAATTGATCAAACCAAGTAACAACAAACCGTCTCCCTTTAGCCCCTATAACTTTGGTTGGAAAGATGTGACCTCGTGGTTGACAAGAACCCCTTACCAAGTATTTCTGTCTAATTTCGTCTCTTTGATTTGGGTTATAACTTATAATTTTGGGTCTCTCTGATGGATCCCAAGGAAGATCGTTAACATCAATCACATTGTTGGATGCATCATTATTACCGGTTGATGATGAAGCTTTTCGCTTCAAATATTTTTCTATAATGAATGAGAATCGTAAATCTAAGTAATGAAAACAATAATAAGTAATCAGTATTCAGTAATGAGAGAATGAGTAAATTTGCAAATTAATAATAAAATCAATAATGAGAGTTGAGACAGTAGACACAGTAGCTCAATGCCTCAATATGGTAGAAAAACTTTTTGAATTACAAATTCATGAATCATATCCATTATAAATTCGTGAATTTCGAAATTAATGAAACAAATCATGAATCCCAATACATATTAATATGACTTATTCCTTATTATGTAACAGACAATCATGGAGCTATTCATGAATCCAAAAATGAATTAGTGTAAAATCACATCTAATTTGGCCATTTTCTTATTTTTTTTAAATAGGTATTATTGTCATCTGAACCCGACTATATATATATATATACATATATATATATATATACATTAGTTGTGTACCCGCGCAATGCAGCGGGAGTCGTAATGTAAACGATTTTGAGGCTTTTTGTGTTTTCACGAGAGAAGACTTTTTGAATGATATGATTTGCTCTTAGTTTTTTACATATTAATACATAAAACATGAACTTAGAAATAGGCATCATGGCTAGTGTTTTACAAATCGCATGAACTTTATTTTTGAGGAGAACATGAATCATGAAGCGATCCAAAACAATTACACAACATAAACATGAAAAGCAACATACAACAGTTCCTTTTAGCTTCAGATTTAAAAAACACTTCACCTCGCTTGATACAAGCAAATGGTATGCCTTTGGAGAGCCCGCACACCCAAAAAGTAAAACATAATCCGTTTGCTCATTAGCTTAAAAAGTATGTACAAGAAAGAAAGTAAATGAATAAGGGTTGTTGAAGCTACAAAGTCACATCTCTACAGTTTGCAATAAAAATATAAAGAATCAAATTAAGTGATCAAGGAACATATATACGTGGAGCATTGGAACAAAGTAATTGAACCCATCTTTGTAAAAACACTTCAAATAACATTCATAACAATTAACATTTACAAAGTTTAATAAAACTTTGAAAATCAAATTTCAATGACAAAAACTGAACTCTAATATAGTTAATAAACTGAACTCTAAAATAATTAACCTAATTCTATCTCCTAACAATATAGATGAATCTTGACAAAACTCATCCAACATCAATGATAGGTATTGGACGTTTGTCCTTCACCATATGGCCAGCTGTGGGTAGAGAATACAAACAGTAGGAACAGAATATCGAATTCAAAAACATGTTTAGAACAAGAACACAACAGGTAAGAGTCATCGCTCTCGCTTACCGGGTAAGGCTCTCTCGGTCCTTGTCTTCACACTTACCGGATAAGATTTTTGGTCCTTACCATATTCATCCGGTAAGGTAATGTGACTTAGTAATCGCTTACCCAAATAAGCTTTTGGTAAACAACCTCTTAATTTTTAGAAAACTTTAAAACCAAATCACTTTCTTGATCATAATTCGAACAAGTTCAATAACTTAGTTTTTTCAATTGACCATTTAGTTTTTCTAATTAACCATGGCGGGATCATAAAAGCATGATTTCATGCAGGGGATTCCATCTTAAAACCAATTAGCAACGGGAGAGAAGTCATTCTTGAATTATATATATATCAAGGGATAGTTGTGTACTCATTGCATATGCATCAGATGTAAAATTGTCTTTGGAAACAACAAATAAAATTTCATACTACTGTTTATCAAAGTTCAAAGGAAATGAATGCAGCTAGCCTAACATATTTGGAGCTCTTGGTAATGTTTCCCCCTTTTTAATAAGTCAAAACAACTAAATATAGCAACAGAAAGTACAAGCAACATAGAGAAAATGTGTTTCTAGTACTTGATTCTTTCAATAATTTCTCAATCTCAACTTTATAAAAAATCAATAGCATCCACACTTTTTATGCATAGACCAAGAAAATCGGTTTGATCCATGAAGAAAGAAAAGGAAATCCACCTAAATACTTAGAGTGAAATGTCAGAGTTTGCACAATCTAGACTACCTTCTATAGCTTGTCATTATATAGACTTAAAATAAAATAACCCATACCTTCAATGATGGTCTTTTTGATTTGGTTGAATTTTAAGTACGAGCTGATTTCTTCTCTTATAATCTTTTTTTCTTTTGCATTCTCAAGGGGAGAGTAATTTGAGATGGTACATATTCTTTGTAAGTTAACGTCATCGCACCTTCAACTTAATAAGCATCAGAGCAAGCGGATGTGGTTATCAGGAACTAAAATCTCCATTGCATGCCTCTCCGAATGTCTGAAATCTGAACATAAGAATATAATTCCATATCTACTCAATAGGTTTGACCAATGGAACAAATTTACTGAAACAAACTATCTTATCAACAATGCAAKTAATTAACCAAAATTCAACTTAGTAAACAACAAATGGAACACAATGACTTCAGATCTAAAATCATTAACTACGTAAACCAGCAGGCCAGCAGATGCAACAAATGGGCAGACACAGGTCACATGAAACAATAGATCAGAATATGGGAAAATTAGAAGAAAGGTAGTCCCAAAAAAAGAAATCAGAATAGCAGCAAGAAACTGATCATACCATTATAGAAATAGATTTGACCATCTTTAAAACCCTTTGATCTGGTGCAACTCAAAGTAGAAATAAACTTTCTAAATCCTATTACCATAAACTGGTATAAACCTTTTTTTTATAATAGTAGCCAATAGATCATTAATCACCAACTAAAACCAGACCTTAAACCAAGCATTGGTTGTTTATCTATGATCTAACCAAATCCAAATCCAAACCAGACCTTAAACCAAACATTGGTTGCTCATGGCATGTATGGTTCTATGTTAAGACTTAGGCTAAAAAATTTACCTGTCATCTGGTCAATTTTTGCATCCTCTTCTAGCTCAGTTTCCATAGTCAAAGCAAGTAACTTCATAAAGGTTGCATTATAAGCAATCTAAACATTTATTTGGCTTAGGGATAATCAAATAATGGTGAACCACATTACACATACTTCTTCATTGAAACCACATTACACATACTTCTTCATCGATTCCAGGGGAGGACAGGTTGTCTTTTCCGGTGCTTGCTTATGAGGTATGGCAAGTAGGGTTC